TCCCAGATTCCCGATTGGAGTGTGGCTCAGTTATGAGCGATGCACACCCTGCCTTGCTCTGTTCACACCACTGAGACGACTGATCTCATGCGATAGCACTGCTGACCCAGAGAATGGAGGAAGGATTCGGAGACAGAGCTCAGACACTGAAAATCAATAAGGAAACCATCCCACTTCAGTTTTGGAGGACCGTAAAAAACAAAAAAACACGGACCATCTGGCAGGAGGGTTTGTGGGTCCTGCACTCAATTCGTGATGTGACCCCATGTGACTTACAACTGTCCTAGTGGGAAAATGGACTGGTTCCACAGCAGGACTGGTTTTTAAAATTCCTTCTACATGTTCATCATGCTGCAAACCCAGTGCTGGCCTTTCTCCCTTTGGAAGACTGAAGTACTGGCTGTTGTTTAAAAATCCAGAAAAGCTTCTGCCAAGCGGAGCAGCACAAAGAGCTTGGAGATTTTAAGACAGGGGCCTTTAGTTATAAATAAAATAAAAGCTTAGGATGCCAAGCTTAGGTGGCTTCTTCCTAAAGACATAATTGCTGTGTTTGAGATTCTGTTTAAACACAACCCATGCATAATGCCTCTCTAGGGTATAATCATAAAAGCTGTGGTTATTGCCTACCCTGCGCTAGAATGCTGGGTTTTTAAGTACAGAACAGTAGGAACAGTAATGTGGTGAACTGCTGTATCTGTATGTTACTCCAGAGCTGTGCGCAATACAGTCCTGCTGCTTCCCATTTCCTCTGCAGCTTTCTGGCCATTTGCAATTAATTTACCATGCAATCTGCAAACTCGGCTTCAACGCGGGCCATCGATTATTATTGCAAACGCCAGCGTTTTCAAAGCGCCGGCCTTCTTCGCCCACCCAAACTGGCAGACAGTCTCGGGGACTGCCTGATACGGAACGTCTTCCTTCCGCGTTTCCCGCAGGTCTGATGTCTTGCGCGACGTCCGTGCGAGTCGTTCGCTTTGCTCGCTGGTTTAAAACCGAGTGACAAAAAAGCAAAGCGATTGGGAAAAGATCATCAATTTGGGAGGGGGTATTTTTTTCCTTTATTCTGCTTCTCGGAAAGTGCTGCTTCACCTAGAGTGATCAGAACCCTAGTAGTTCGACTCCTAGAATACGGCTGATAGATCAGGTTCAAAATTTCCCAAATGCGAGCCTTATGCAAAGATACAAGTTGTCGATCATTATTCTTGATTCACAGTTTTGTACCTAGAGGAGCACTGAACTTGCAGCTTAAAGTAGGCTGCTGTCTATTTTTTTTTTTACTGACCTCATTTGTACTTCAACAATGATGTCAATTTAAAAAATCCAGCATTTCTGCCATTTTCCCGAGGAAGTACGCATTTACTATGCGTGCAAAAAAAAAAAACAATACATGAAAGCATCTAAGCACAGAAACAGCAAGGCTGAGAGTACAGGGAGTGGTCTCTGCATCTGGAATAGAAGCCGTTTGTCAGTCTAGGGTTCTTCCATGTCAACAGAAACAGGTGTGAGCTTCGGAGTTTCCAGCGACTGTGGTTTGAAAAGCTTCTCTTGTCTGAGAACAGCCCATTGCTGCCGAATTCTGTGTCACACTGGGACGTCCATCTCTAATACAGCCTGTTTCTTCGATTAGCATTTCTGGGCTTATTACAATGGACATGGGCCGTGGACTCTACATAAGCTTGTCCTTAAAAAGTAATCAGCTTGCCTTGAAACACTCTTGTACAGTTTAGAGAACAAGACGGTCCATTATGTACCACTTAACAGCATGATTAAACAGTATGCAGCTGATTAAAGTGATTAAAGGATCTGTATCTCAATTGTTCACATGTAAAATGTATTTTATGCAATGAAGAAATGCGCCTGTAAACTCCGACAGGTTGCACTGGCTTGGTCTTCATCCAAATCAGTTACAGACCAACACATTGCTCACTGCAGCACCAGCCTTCCTTTAAAAATATACTGTTTAAACTTATTATTAAGCTAGTGCTTAATAGAACAGAAACCGACATGTTATAAAAATAATGTATTCCTTCCTACAGACAGGATGCTGAACCAATACTCAGTGGTATTGCATACAGTACTACTGAATTAAAAGCACTGTTATGTGAAAAGTTAAGAATGCTTAAAACAATAACATTACTTCAGGAAAGCCCTCATTATCACCTTATTCCACTGCTACATGTACTCTAGTGGCCACAGGCAGTTGTAGAACAAAGACACTAATGCATTTGAAAACCAAATCACTCCTTTTGATTAAAGCCAGACATACAGCAATCACTAGCAGACTCACTTCAGATGTAATTATTCTACTGTACTCCATACTAAGGAATGCGGCTTGGCTGCCTTAGTCCACTGGGTTGCGTAGCTTGTTTGAGAGAGCTCCTTAATTGGTCATCTTAATGAACTTGGGGTTCTTTAAGTCCGCTTCAATTAAATTGGAGAGCTTCCCTCAGCAGCTCTGCTGAGTCCCAGATCAGAGCTAGCCCAACAGCTCATTTTAACAGTTTCTCTGTACTGACTGCAGACCCCTGTAACAACCCCTGCATGTATGTGCTTGATGGGTATTGTTCATGACAAGGCAGAAGAGGACTCGTCAGCCAGGGCGTTCTCTCTACAGCAGGCAAAGAAATTGCATTTGGAGAAAAGTACTATGTTCTCATTTAATTAACATTTTTTTTCTCAAAATCCACCGGCAGACATAACAATTTCTCAGCAAGACAGCTTCTGTAAAACCCTTTTAAAGGCACTATGATAAAGTTTATAGTAATTGCTTTTCTCCCTCACTACATGCCCTTACTTCAATGTTACAATTTCCTAGACAGAAGGGGACCAAAATGTTGAACCAGGACTTGTACCTTCCCAGAGAGAATCACGTCAACCAATCCGTGTAAGCTTTGAAATATGCATTTCATACGAACGTGGAACAGCAGAGCAGAACACCGGCTGAGGAGACGACCTCACCCAGTGGGCTAAAACCGCTCCGTTAAGATTGAATGAAACAATTTCAGTAAGAAATAGAGCAGTCAGCTCATATCTTACTAAAGCGACCATTGTAACAGACAGCGCTTTAAACGAATAAGATTATAAATCAGAGGTAACAAAAGCACTGCCTTCGGTACTATATTCAGCTAGTCAGACAAGCCAAATTTGCCTACTCTTTTTATTCCACCAGGACACAAGACGGGCATAAAATCAAGGAACGCATTTTTGGCTTAGTACATTTTTTTCTCTTTGTTCTTACGTTTCCTAACGTGCGCTTCGGTTATCCGAGGAGTGGCTGCTGAGTTTTTCCAGAAGGTGTGTAATTTCTGTGGGAAGAAGGTGATGGTGGAGGGTGGGGGGAGGGTCTTTCTGCAAGAAGTCATAGCGCTCTGCGTTCGCCCGCACAGTTGGCCCTGCTCAGTAAATATGCTTCGCCCTCGGCAGACTCGACAAGGCGAGAGAATCCTTTGTCTGTCGATTTCCCAAGCGCTTCCGCTCGCCACAGAGCTCGCCTTCAGCCCGAGAGCATTAGGCCGGCGGCGTCTTACAACAGGTCCCCTTTAAGACCCCGAAAGAGGGGGGGGCGGTTGAGAAAGGTGTGTCCGGAGCCATGAAATCGGCAAGACAAAGATCTCAGCGAAAGCATGCAGCAGCCATTGACAATCCAAATCAATAGAAATACCACCAGTACAGCACATTTATCCTTTAAACTACAAATACCAGAACTGCCGTGGAGAGTCGATTTGGGGTTTTTACAGCACAATAACGCTCTGCTCACCCACCAAGGAAATTCGATAAGAATTCACCTTAGGATCGCCACTATTTCGCTTAACTGCCGTTAAAAATACCAGATAAAGCCCGTGTCGTTATTCGCCTGCAAGGTGCCTGTGGTGCGTGTGCTCTCCTGCCTAAAGTGCTCCGGTGCTGTTACAATGCAGCAGGTTACCCCACCACTCAATTGTAGCGACGTTACCGCAGTGGCTGTTCTGACAAGGCAAGAATACCGCCGAAGAAAGTCATTTCTGTTATTCATCTCTGCTGCAGGTTGACCACGCCAGGCGCGGCGAGCAGATTCTCCACTAGGTAGATGATGTAGAGCAAACCTACCTAAATGCAGTTTTTTTTTACACCCCAGGCTTATGCATGTAAAGAATGCGCCTTTCTGGGGTTTTTTTTTTACCCCTCTGATCTGATCTGACACTCCCGGGGCGATGGCACGGTGCTGTCACACACCCAGCAGCAGGGCAGCGCGGGCGCTCCGGCTGCAGCCCGCATCAGCACCACTGGGCGCGGATAGCAGAAGGGAGAGAAAAAACTGTCCCTTTCCACTGCGTGTCGAAGGAAAACGCCGACACCCCTCTCTCTCTCTCTGCACAAAGCCGCTAAGCGCCGTGGCGGCTCTACCGGCATCAACCGCCTGGCATTTCTCCACGCGGGGAACGTCGCGTTCGTGCAGAGCGAAACCAGAGAAAGCTCCAGAACAGCCGGAGAAGCGCGTTCCAGCACACGCATGCATTTTATTGTTTGTTGCCGCCAAACACGGAGGAAGGTTCCGCTTTTCTTCCTCCTTTCCACACGCTAGAAAGCCCGCCTTTGTGTGCAAGCGCCTTCCACGCGGGGCATCTTGTTTTGCGAAACATGCAAATCAATTTAAATGTAATGGCAATTGAATAGAAATTAACCGCTGGAGGTTGCAGAGGTGGGGTGGTGGGGGGGGGGAACGGAGCCAAACGTCTTTTTAAACGTCTCGGCATGACAGGGCGCATCGCTCCCCGTATTCGCGAGCTTACGGGTCAGCCCTGTAGCGCGAAATGCCCAGAAGAGACACTTTAAAGAATTTGTATGCATTGTGTCAGCATCCGAAAATCTCATTTCAGCGACAGAAAGCGCCGGGCTGGCCTTTTCGGCGGGTGACAAGCTATAACGCAATTGTTTTAGACGTGCAAGCTTTTAACCACGGCCCGAGCATTCGTCGAACTGGTCAAATCGAAAATAAAAACGCGAGATGCCACATTACCCACCTTTATTTTCCAGAGGAGCATGTGAAATTTCCCAGTTCGTGCTGGTGTAAGCTGTCATGCATAGAGCTACACAGGCCCAACCTCTCCCACCCAACGGAAAAATATCATACTGACATGACAGGCACGAACGCCGGTTTTAAATCGTGACAAAATTACCCAACCTAGACAGCTGACAGTGGCCCCGCTGCAAAGCCGCGTCTCTTAATGAAAGTTATGACTGAAACCGTGCAGATTTCAGTTTCGCTAATGGCCAGAAATATAGCTTTACTTACCTGTGTGGCAGACAGTGTTATTGTCTCTCCAGCTGCAGTCAGTCACTGACCAATCGATCGAGCGCTGCAGTTCGCTTGGAGCCCTCTAGGGGGAGGGGGCGCTAGAGAGCCGAGTGAATGAGGAAGAGAGGAGGGGTTTGGGGGCTGCTTTTGAGCTGTCATCTTCTATTTAAAAGAAAAATCTTCCTAAATAAGCGCATTTACTCATGTTAATATTGTGGCACGTGTCGTGTTGTTTTAAATACCACCTAAAATACGATAGCGAGTATTGCTTATCGGTGTGCGTTAAGAAATAAGAAAGAAATAGGATTTTCCTTGGTCCTATATGGTAATGCTTACTCATTCTGTATTATCGGCCGTGGAAGGATTTTGCTTTCCCGTTCTGTATAGCAAAGGAATGCCCATCGTAAAAAACCTATAAATCAGAAAAACGGACATACTGTATGTGTCACCAAATATTGCATGTGCCCAGAATTACTGTTTTAGTTTTCTAGGTTATTTACCTGCCTTATTCATTCGAGGTTTTACATGTTGTGGACTTCTGTGCAATTTAAAGGTATTAGAACAACTCTTTATTATTCGGTTGACGGTTTTATTTCTGGGGTAGCATTGCTGGCTTGCAGTGTTGTGGCCCAGGTCAATTCCATACCTGGAGTGCTGTCTCCGCGGTGTTTGCAGGTTCTCCCTGTATTCCTGTAGGTTTTTTTTTTTCTGGGTGTTCCAGTTCCCTCCCACAGTCCGTCAAACGTTCTGGGAAAACTGGCGCTGGTGCGAGCGTGTGTTTGTGTCTGTGTGCCCTGTGATGGCCTGGTGTCCTCTCCAGGGTGTGTCCTGCCTTGTGCCCAGTGCTTGCTAGGATAGGGCTCCACCAGCTCTGCGACCGTGAATTTGAAGAAGTGCTTTGAAAATGGATGGGTGTGTTTTATTCATCGCAAATTACTTTGGTACCCATTTGTGCACCTGGGTATTATGCTGTAGCAATCAGTGGGAAGTACCTTGATTAACAGTATCTCGCCACCCAAGATCTGGACCCCCAATTTGTTGTGAATCCAGAGGCCTTGGAGACAACATCCCTAAGCTGAGTTTGTTTTTATGAATGAGGAAGACACTAGGGTTTGGAAGCTACAGCTCTGCTTTGGCATTCAAGGGTCACAGAGCAAGTTTGAGACATGCCCAAAGCTGAGGGGCTCTGCAATGTGCTCCTGCCTGCAATCTGCATGTAGGCTTTGAGAAGCCGCCTTTAAAGGCCCTATATAAAACAGTTTATTACATGATGATTATTATTATCAGGCAGACTGACAGCTTATATCGACAGGTGGAACATAAAATAGAAGCAAGAGAGATGCAGGAAACTGTTATAATGCAATGAAACACAAAATAGTTCAATTATTTGCATGTATTGAATACACGTGTTATCATTGTTTTACTTACATTTCATGCACACCATATTAATAATTACAGCAAGTAGAATTAAATAACCCTAAATGGAAATAACGGATTTCTGAATAATCACTATTGCAATTAATCTTTGTAAGTGTTCTGAACGTTTCTTTGCAGCTCGTGTCACGTTGTTCTCTCTGTGACTATGCCAGTGTGTGGTGTCTTGCATGGCTGCATAAATTAAAATAACGACACAGTCTGCTGGTGACGTTTCTCGCCGTCATTGCACAAATGTTCCATTAGATGGCAGGCACGCTCAATGTATGTGTGATTTGATGACACCGGAGCCACATGTCAGTGTTTCACCTCGGCCTGTTTGACTAGCATATTGTTTTGAACTAAAGCCATTATGAAAGTGGTCTTGAGTGGGGGTTGTAGGTCAAAGGATAGTATTTAATGGTAAGGCAATATTTATTTGTGGAGGATGCAGTACAGAAATGAAAATCACAACATTTATCTGTATTATTTATTATAGGTTTATTGTAGGTTACTCTACAATATAAATAATATTAGGAACTTTCAAGGACATTAAAGACATTCACAAGGGAGTCTTGAAGGTGAAAAGATAGTTATGAGTAATCCCTATGCTTTTACAAAGGAAGAAAAATAAATGATTTTTGGGGGGAAGACAGAGATCTTCTAAAGGAAAAATATTAGCCATCTAGTCTTTAATTGAAAACATAACATATCGCACGAGGACCTTCCAATTGTGTTAGTTTTCTGTATACTTTCTATATAAAGTATTAAACCTCTGCTAATCAACAAATACGTTCCAGAAGAAATTTATATGGAGGTCCCATGATTCAGAAGGAGAAATTCAGTCTTCTGATTGCACCATTCAGCAAAATCGATGCTACTGTACACAGAATGCATTGCATTCTGAGCCAATTACTGTGGTAGGATCCAAAGACTGTGCCACATTCTTATTTCATTCCTACTGAAACCGTGCTCAAACCTTTTCGATTTTTTTCAGAATACTACTCTTCATGCATTTAATCCTTAGCAATGAGAACTGACTCAGCATTTGACTTATAACTGACTGAACAATAAGAACACACTCGGTGGAAAAATGGGTAATGGGAATCATGATAAACATAATATTATATAAACGTACATGTTACTTGGGTTTTCAGTTCTGACATAGTGACATAGTGTGGATTTATAATGCACTGTTTTTCAGGTCATGCTAAAATGTCAGAAACGTAAAAACACCCTTTACTGTTCCTTGCAGTGAACTAAACCTTCTGAATAATTTGTCTTTTTTTTCGAATCATTATTTCTGACGTGCTGCCTAGACAGAATGTTATACCACTGACGGTCACAAGAGAGCGGTGTTGCAGCAGACCTCTCTCTTGTGCCTGGGCCGTCAGAACAGCCTGTTCCTGTGCGAGCATCACAGATTATCAGAGAATTCCGTTCCTATCAGCCACTGGTCCAGTGTCTGAGCTAAAAGAAGTTCCTGGTTCAAGTTCTGTTTCTGCTACTAAGTGTGGGTTACCCAGTATTCCTAAAACCCTGTTGTGCCCTGTGTTTTGGATAAAATGTAAAAACGTGATCTTATTATAAGTGACTGCAGGAGTGATGCATACATTTGGGATTAGTTTATGTTTTTTTGGATGAACACATCTCCTTGTCTCCTTAGTGACTGTTTATTGCTGTTAATTCTTATTGGCTTGTCATGTCTATCATATAATAACAAGTATTTCCTTAGGAATAAATGTTGCTTGTTAGTTTGGCCTGTGTTCATTTAAATAGAAATAATTATTTATTTTTACTCCTGCCTCTAAAATGATCTGCAGTTCTTCGATAACTACTAGTTGATTAAGCGTTGTCTACCGACACAGCCTAAAAGTCAAAAGCAATTTCAAAATCTGGTGCACGGCTGGCTTGATGCTCGAATGTTCTCGAAAAAAGCCTAACCATGACTTTCTGCATTCCTGGAACGTTTGTCGAACTGTCCAGGGCTCCACGCTCATGTCCAGGGCTCAGAACCAATTGAGGAGGAGCAGCTGTAAGCCAATCTCCCACATAAAGAGTGTGTGCATGCATCTGAACAAAATGGTCTTCTCCAGCAAGGTGGTGGTGACCATTCAGGTCCTCGGCGAGTGAAACGGTAGATAAGACCATACACAGCTGGTGGAAAATGCTGAATGATGTCTAAAAATGCATCCAAAGGTTGTTCCTGTACAGGACTGTGAGCAGACGGCCATGTTCGTGATCTTTGGATCCTTCACTTGCAGAAAAACCCCAGGTGCAGAAGGAGAGATGGGGCCTATTTTGGTCTCTGTGTTCCCTGCATGTGTTAGAAGAGCCCTTCTATAAAAGGGTAAGGCTATTGTCCTGGGGATCGCTCCGGATCAGGTGACAAGTCGATTTATAGAGTCTCCCCACCCCCTCCCGCCCCTTGGATCAAATTCCTCTCTTGCTGCCCCGCTGTGACAAGAGCCGCTCTGGAAGGTGCTGATGTCTGTGGATGTTTTCGGAAATGCCCAGAGGACGCAGAGCCCTCCAAGCTGGCCGCGGGCACTTGCTCAGCCGGGGTATGCGGAGCACTCTGGGAAAGAAGGCAACAGCTGGGCCAGTTAAAAAACACTTAGCAGGGGGAGGTCGGTTGTGTTCAGAACAATGTCTCGGTTTTTTTTTTAAACACGTAGTTACTGTACCTATTGCCAACTTCGTGGACATCCAACAAGGAGGAAAGTGTTACATCCGTGCAGTCTGATGAAGTACAGTTCAAAGTACAGCAGCTCGCAGAGGGCTGTCATACACAGGGCAAGCAAACCGAATCTCTTCAGTCTTGCACAGAGGAGACTGAGATTTGGACACGGAGACTGGATCCAAGTACATAAAAGTCCAAGAGTTATATAGACATTGCCCACCTGGAAGATTCAAATTCAAACAAGGACAGTTGGAAACTAAAAGGTAATTCATTTAAAATTAAAAATAATTCCTTACACTTATATAGCATTTTCCTGGACACTTCCCTCACAGCGCCGTACAGGTAATGGGGATCCCCTCCACCACCACCAGTGTGCAGCCCCACCTGGATGATGCTCCAGTACTCTCCTTGCACACCAGCTCTCACTGGGGAGGAGGACAGTGATGAAGCCAGTTCAGAGATTTAGGAGGCAGAATAATAAAGACAGTTTTACCCTAAGAGCTGTGGGTGTCTGAACCGGCTTCCCAGCCACTTGCTTGAGGAGTCAGAGTCACCAAGTTAAAGAAGCAGCAGAAGGAGGTTGTAAAATTGTACCTCCTGAGCTGCCAAGCAAGAAGACAGGCCACAGGCCTTCCTCACATTTGCAACTTTTCTTCTGTTCTTATGTTATGGTTATTCAAACCATGATATAAAAATATAAGAATTGCTTGCATTTGCGTGGTGCTTGTCATCTCAAAGGATCCCAAAGAGCACCAAATACAAGAGAGCATCCTGTCCTCTTTATCCATCACCTCCCAACACGTTCTTCTTATTGCTTTTTGTATTATTACAGATGAAATCTGCTCTTACCTGGTCCTGACTCTCCGTGGGCATTAAAAATCCCAAAAAGAATAGAGGTGTCTCCCTGGTGTCCTGGCCAGATTTCCACCTGGCCTTTACCAATCATGGCCTCCTAATAATCCCCATCTCTGAACTGGCTTCATCACTCTCTTCTCCTTCCCACTGAGAGCTGGTGTGTGGGGAGTGTACTGGAGCATCATCCAGGTGGGGCTGCACACTGGTGGTGGTGGAGGGGAGTCCATATTACCTGTAAAGTGCTTTGAGTTGAATGTCCAGAACAGCACTATAGAAGTGTAAGCAATTATTATTTCTACTGCATTTAACACAGTATTGCAGCATTCTCCAGATTCAACACACAGTGGGTTTCATGTGTCTCTCTGGGCTGAGGCTGGACTACAATGCTTACGGTGCATAGCTGGCCGTGACTGTTTGGGAGTTTGACTGTGCACACTTCTGGAGTGTCCTCACCTCGGTGTCATGTTGAAAGCAGAGCGCAGCATCCCAAAGCACAGTTTGCCTAACAGGAAAAGGCTGCAAGGCACAGAGCAATGTGGCAACTCAGGACGCAGAAGGAAAGGAAGCCACATGCCTGCTGAAGACATACTGTGGGTAACCTGCAAATTTACTGTGCTGGTTTCTCAATTTGTCATGGTAACCTGGCATAAGGATCTTATGACAAATACTTCTGCATATGTATGCATATAATTTGATATGATAACCCACTAGGTTCACGTAGCATGTTTTCCTTTTCTTGAGTTAGTTTTTTGCTGAACACAGATCGTGGAGGGTAGGATACTGTATTAAAGACAGCACTTGTTTTCTTCCTCTGTACTTGCAGATACAGTCTCCCATGATTCTCCGCCTTCTCCTCCTGCTCTTCACCAGAGAATTAGCAACTAGAAAAGCCCCCCAACAGAAACCCTTTGAGTCTGTAATCTTAAAGCCCCCTCTTCCACCGGCACAGTATCTGCTGCCTCCATCCGTCTGCAATGTGAACACGGCTGCTCCAGACCTGCTCCCCATCATGTGGCACCCTGGCCACCACCCATCGCACACATCCGGCCCCTTATCAGCTCCGCAGAGGCGCTCTAAGATTGCTCTAGAAGGAAGCAGGCTTGTACCCCTCGCCCTCTCCAGTTCTGGCAGTAGAATTTTGCAAGGAAGTGTGTTTGGATTCCGTTTTCAAACCCCTGGAGAAGGGGCAGGGCCGGATTTTTTGTGTCCGTCGGCCCTCGGCACTTTTCACTTTTGAAAATGTGCAGAAAGAGAGGTGAACGCCGTTTGAGTGACGTCGATTGACAAGATGCGCTTGAAACCCTTCTCATGCTTAACCACGTGATTGATGGAGCGGGCCGAGCGACCGTCAATTCGACACTTCCAGTCTCTAGAACAGCCGCTGGAGGGCGCATGACTATTGGTTTGGAGCACCTCGCAAGCATGGTGTTTCAGCTCGTTTTTGGTTGGCGTTTTTACCATTTTCGTAGGCCCTATGCGAAATCCGGCACCGGTAAGGGGACGGGTCCGACACATCTGAGTCACATGTACAGGACACGGGCTATGTGCTGTATAGTGGCATTAGGTTGCAGAATTGGCTTCCGAGCTTTGAGGGGGAGACCAGAAACTGCCCGTTTGCAGCGCCACGTCCTTTGTTGAACCAAACAAAAACCACGCGTCAAATTTGAATTTATTTTAATCTTTGAAATATGACAGAAAAATAAATAAAAATATCATCAGACAGCTGAACATCGGGAACAGGACTTTTCTTCTTTTTATACGAACAAAGTTGTGTCTTTTTACATGAAAAGTACAGTGAGCTGGAGAGCAAGCGAGCAAGCGCCCGGATCTCTAAGCCGCTGTAGCTACCAGGGTGTGTAAGGACACTTCTCAGCACTAGGGGGCGCTGTACACTGAAGGCTCACAAGGCTGGTTTCGTTGAAGGTCGTTTTAGGTCGTTTTGATCTTAGGCGCTTCTCAGCTTCTACAGAAGAGAATAATTATTGTTAATTTGCGGTGGAGTCTTCCCTTTTTTAACCAAATAAAAAAGAAAGGAAATCTTTTGCAAGTTGGCCAAAATACAAAATGAGTAACAGTAGAAGCCAGTGAGAAACAAAAAATCGGGATTTAATGATTAATAATGGTTTAAGGTCACCGATCATGCCTCACTTACGTCGGGGGCTATCTTTTATCCAGACATGATGTGCTTGATGAAAGCTGCAAGAGAAACGAACACATTGTAAAAGAATATCATCAGCAGAACACCGGCGCCGCTTGTTCTCACAATCGGTTCAAGTCCTATCAGACGACATGCAAAGGGCGGCGTATCTCTTATGTTGAGTAGATGATTTTTCATTTCCGGATGGAAACATCACAACCAGAACAGGATCATATAAGAAAAAACAAATTTCACAAAGCAAAAATGTTGTCATGGTAACACCCATCTTTTTTTCATGGAGCGCTGGATATAAGGACAGCTAACTGAGTTAGCTCTCTTCCCGATGGATTCTGTAATTTGCATTAGTCCCCGCTCCTGAGGTGCTGTAATGCTTTCTGACAATATTGCAAATACGTCTTACAGATCCTCATCTTGATTTATGAGTTATGTGAACACCTGACTGCTGTTTTGCTCTATTAAATAATTGAAGTCTGTTAATGAGTCTGTGAGGACTGACAGTCATTGCTATGCAGTAGTCTAGACACAGTCAAGAGCATCAGCAGTGCCACTATTGTGGAATCGGGCTCCACTATTGTAAGTATTTTCAACTATAGCAACATCTTGGATTGTTCTTAAATTAACAGAGCTTAGTTTGGGTGAGAAGAAGCCAAGCTCATCATTCACCATCTCTCATTCACGGATTGAACAGAATTTTCAAAAACACAACTGCAGGTAAACAGGTAAACTACTGTATACACGAGCAGTCAATATGAAGGGTTGTAGCAGCCAATCCATCATTATTTACCAACCAGATCTAAATGACACCCTGCCAGGTGAGACTCGTAATGAGCATAATTTGTTTCTCTCTCGATAAAGCCGACTTATTGTAGTGCAAATGATAGATCTATCAACAGATCTGTTAGCTGTTAGCTTAAAACAAAATGGCTGCAATTTAACAAAATGGTCATTATAGAATGAAACAAGTGAAGAGTGGGAGTGCAAAATGTCTGAGACTTTTGCACGACATTTTCTGTCTTGGTACCTCCCACTCAAAGCAAAGCCTTAATCATATACCCCTGACCTCCCTACAGCATAGAGGGATGTGAAAAGCTGAGAAAAAAATCGATGTGCTGTTTATTGTGTGCCCACAGCATTTTCCTTTTGTGAAGGTGTCCTTGGAAGGCAATACAAATTCTTGGGATAACTGAAAAATACAGGTGAGATTAACATTTGATTGCTGCTTTCTGGATGTTTGAAGATAGAACGTCTGTGTCATAAGTAAAAAGCAGACAGTGGATTAAGATACAAGGTTTTGCTGATGCTATGAATTTTTTCCCCTCATCATTACAACTGACAGAACCTAATCTGAAATGAGAAAATGATGGAGCAGTTGAGCCCACATGGACCAATGGGCTTTCCCAGGAACCCTGTGAATCTGTCCTTTTCACACGCAGGGCTGAGCAGAGTCTCACTGCAGAGGGATGGGGGGGACTGGTTTGCACAGAAATCTGACCTTCGTAGTTGATGCACCCGTTAGCATCCTCCTGTCCAGCCATTAACTGCTCCACTTCATGCTCTGTCATTTTCTCTCCTGCAGGGGTGACAAAAGTTACATTTTGTCGTTTGTGTGGAGCGCTCTGTGGGCGTGTGCATGCAGCAGCGTGAACAAACTGCATTCCCTGAAGTAAGCGTCTGCAGAATATCCTCACATGTGTGTCTTTGGAGTCTGTAAAATTTAATCAAAGCTGTCATGTCTGTGATGGAGTATGTGGCACAACACAGAGCCACATTTGAAAGCATTTAGAGTGTTTTTATTTGCTTTTAAAAGGTCTACAAATAATTAGCTGCATCTTCCTTATTTATAAATAAGCTGTTTTTTTACATGCTAATAAAGTGTAACTCTTAAAGGAGGGTAGTCCAGCCCTTTTACTAGAAGGACACAATCCAGTGGGTTTTATAGGTCTCTTATAAGTCTTTATAGGTCTCTTTAAAGGCAACAGCTTACAGAGTGGGAAAAGCTCTTAAACTGGTCCCATTAGGCCAATAGTGGTGGAGCCAGACTAGAATAAAGACCTGCAGACACACGTGCTCTGCAGAAGCACATCCATACCCCAGAGTGGTCCCAGCGTTAACACTGTGCATTCTGCCGCAGAATAAAGGCCCAGCAAAGGGGAGGAGCAGTGTCTCACCGAGCGTGGCGAGGACGTGGCGTAACTCAGCCCCCATGACAGTCCCGTTCCCCTCCTTGTCAAAGACGCGCAGACCCTCTATGAAGTCCTCCATGGTGCCCTGGTCCTTGGACTTGGAGATGTGCTGCAGCATGGGGAGGAAGGTCTCGAAATCCAGCATCTTGGTGTTCATTTCTGTGGGAAGAGGTACAACATTCACTTTCTCCCACCCGGTACCTGTCAAGGGTTTCAAGGCACAGCATCCCAGGAGGAGAGGAGTATCTCAAGAGGGCAGCTGTGCAGCCTAGTGGTGAGCATTGTGCACCTGCAGCCTGAAGGTTATGGGTTCAACTCAACCACTGGCACTGCTGTTCCCACCCTTGAGTCAGGTACTTCCCTAACACTCCTCCAGTAAAATACTTAGGTGTAGGAATGCGAACCAGTGTAAGTGCTCTGGGGGAAAAAGCATCTGCCAAATATAGTAATGAGTCTCAGTGCTGTAAGTCTGCAGACACAAGCAGTTAGAATCCTGCGGAAGCAAAGCTACCTGGGTCCAGAAGACATGGGAATGAGTACTGTATATTGATTGAGCTTTAGTCGTCACCCCCTGTCACACTTATTCATTTGTTAGTTGGTTGACTTGAGGGGCTGGTTGGGATGGAGGTAAAGTCACTGACCCTCGGGCTTGGGCTTCCCCAGTATTTTCACGACCTCAGCGTTCGTGGGGTTCTGGCCCAGAGCCCTCAGCACGTCCCCACACTGGGCATAAGTGATCTTCATCTCCCCGGTCGGTGTCCTGTCGAAGAGTGTGAAGGCCTCCTTGAACTCTGTGGAGACACGGAGACGCAGAGCGGGTGAGAACTGCTGTATCTACACGGGATAAGGGGGAAACAGAGCCACACAGCAGCACAGAGTAATAATGTGGAGTACCCAGCTCTCTTCCTCGGGGGGCACCAGGGACCACAGCCTGACAGTTTAAAGTAATAGTTAATTATATAGCACTTTTCTGGACACTCCACTCAAAGGGTTGTACAGGTAATGGGGATCCCCTCCACCACCACCAATGTGCAGCCCCACCCGGATGATGCCATGGCAGCCATAGAGCTCCAGTACGCTCACCGCACCACAGCTCTCAGTGGGGAGGAGAGAAGAGTGATGAGGCCAGTTCAGAGAGGGGGATTATTAGGAGGCCATGATTGGTAGGGGCCAAGGCGAAATTTGGCCAGGACACTGGGTAACACCCCTACTCTTTTCGAGAAACGCCCTGGGATTTTTAAAGACCACAGAGAGTCAGGACCTCGGTTTTATGTCTCATCCGAAGGACGGTGCCCTTTTACAGTCTAGAGTGTCCCCGTCACTATACTGGGGCATTAGGACCCACACAGACCGCAGGGTGAGCGCCTCCTACTGGTCCCACTAACACCTCTTCCAGCAGCAGCCTTAGTTTTTCCCAGGAGGTCTCCCATCCAGGTACTGGCCAGGCTCACACCTGCTGAGCTTCAGTGGGGCTGCTAGCTGGGAGCTGCAGGGTGATATGGCTGCTTACACCAAGCATTCCACATAGGACGAAGGAGGAAACTAGAGAAAGCCCACACAAACACAGAGAGAACATGCAAACTATACACAGACACACAAATCAATGAGGGTACATACCCTCAATCTGGTCTGCAGTGTATTCAATCTGGAAAAAAAAAGCAAAAAATACAAAAATTGAGACAAATCCCATGAACAAGAACTGTATTGCTAAGCTTTGGATACATTTGTACCGGTGTTGTTCTGTTATCCTTTTAGGCCCGTAACAAAAAAACACCACAAACAGACCAAGCAGCCGGAATCGCTTTTTTGCCAATCAGAAAATTAGTAAAGGCAAACATTGAGTCCTGTCATCACTGAAATTAAATTAGGAAGTTGTCCATGTATTTTTTTAATGGATGTTAAGCATCAGAAGATTCCGTGTTGCAGATATGAAATAAATGGGTTGATTCACCTGCAGTCACTGGTGACATTAGGTTCTGCTTCATGCAAGATGGAGGAGTCTGATGAGGAGAGGGCACACTTTATTCTAAATCGCATTTTCTGCTACACGAGATGGTTTCTCTTTCTGTAAGGACTTTGCCAAACTTATTTGTACCTTCTACTCTGTTAGTTTCAGTGGCGATTTCGCCTTCCTATTCTGTACATGAGCATGATTTCCCCAGACCATAAAACCTGTTCAGCAGCAAGAGAACATTTGTGAAAGTTGGGGTGAAATTTCGATCTTCTGGGGGTCTGGATCCCACCCCTCCGCCGCAGAAGACGAACCTCCCCGAGCGTCTTTGTGGAGACCGGCTTTCAACAACAGCAGGAGCCCAGCTGGAGGGGCAGAGGTGTCGTGTGTCTGACGTGTGTGTGTGGTGTGGGGGGGGGGGTTCTCAAGATGTTATTCCAAGGCGTGCTTCAGGGTCAAAGTTGGGCACTGACACCCTTCCTTTCCTATCGCACGGACTAAAAATAACTCGGCCCCGTGCTGGCGCCAGGATCCATGCGAAACCCAATCTCCCACATGGTCCCGGTGGAAGAACAGGAGCTAATTTTGGGAACAATAAGAATGCAAAGCCATGCACGGGGACCAGCCGAAGAGCAGGGGGTAGCTGCAAAGCCGTTGTAGTAAACATCTCGCTGTGGAATCCCGGTTGCACTTGCTTGCTTGTAAAACGTCAACACTTTGTCAACCTGCAGGGCCTGCAGCTGGTACGGTGCTCCAGGAACCATAGAGAACAGCTGGGTAGCTGTGAGACTCACAAACAGGGCTGCATGGACCAGGTGCAGGATGGAAATAACCAATAATTTACAATGAACTGACGCAGCTCAAGACCCCTTTTCCAGAAATGCACCTTGTGGAAGTCTGGGTTTAATATAAGGTGTAGCATCGATTTTTTTGGCGCAGAGGCCAAAAGCAGCCAAAGACCTCCTGCTGTAAAGGGTCACTGTAGCTCTATGCTGGTCTGTGTTGGAGATGCCCTGAGAGAGAGGATTCAATATTATCGAGAACATGTAAATTTACCTCCCTGTCACTGATAACAGGACTTCTTTTAATTCCCAAGTATTTACTTGTTAAAGCCAATTTCAGCAAGTTTCTCTTCCTCATCTTCCAGGTGGCTGTTGTGACAGGGAGTGCTGGCAGCCTGCTGAACAGGGCCTGACGTCTCCCCTCTCCCAGAGGAGACAGTGTGAGCCGAGCACTGCTTTCTCAGGGATCCAAAGGAGATGAGAGCTGACGAGGTATTGAAGGCTCTTCATCATCAAGGGTTTGGTAAAAGCACGAGAGGAATTAAGAAACCATTCTCACTGAATTTCGTCCTTTATTCCTGTTTGAGCTCAGGAGATAAATGAACCTTTTGCTTCAAAGCATCAGTTGCCACATGAGCAATATTCGAGCAAAATATCTATATATTCTTTGAAATAAAACATATTTCTACATATACTGTCACTGACTGTATGACCAGTAATACGTAGAATTCTTATTATGTAGTGTAATAATATAAGAATACTTATTAGAATGCTTATATTATTATAGTAGTTGATCACTCTTTGTCATGCAAGTTTTACATTTGCGATTCAGTCATAACTAAAGCGTATGTCTTCTTTCTCAAAAGACAATGATTTCAAGAGTCAACAAAAATGACCTTATTACATTTGTAAGTCACAATGAATGCATAGGTGAACTCTTGAATAACTTCATTTTAGAGATTTTAATGTCTGAAAACGTGGGTTCTGACCAATGTTTTGCTGTTTTATTACTGTAGCTACGCAGGGTGTTGCGCCATTCTCAGTACCTTGCACAGTTGCTGCCATTTTTAACCAAACCATCTTGGAGTTACACTCATTTACACAACTGGGTATTTCTCAGGACCACACACACGGGTCGATCAACAGCATCTAATCTGGGCTTTGAACCCACAGCCTAATGGTTGTGTCCAAACCTGTCACCACTCTTCCACACTGCTGCCCTGGCACAGTGCTCACACCATTGTAGTCAATGGTCTGCCTGTGATATTGTGCCAGTATAGTAGATTCATTTGACAGCTGAGATAAAAGCAATGCCTGACACTCAGCTCCATTCACAGAGAGAAGACTGGCATCCGGAGCCTGTTTTGATACACAGAACGAAGCTTGTCAAGCATTTCAGCGCCAGCTCAGCAACTGTCTGCTCTTTTGTTCCATCTGTCCTCTGTGCTTTCAAGGTATGGTAATAATCAGAATCAATGAATCAGACAGGAGGCTTTTTGTTTGCAGTTCCAATTAAACAAATTAAAACTGGTTTGGTTTCCATAAGAAAGCACCCTATTTATTTTTTTTCAAATAACGTAATTATTTTATATCCATGATCTGTTTTCACAAATCATGACCGTTCAAATGGATTCATGACCATTCAACTTCATGATTCTACTGAAAAGCTGTCAAACACAATCTTACAGGAGCTACGAGCAACATTTTTGGGGGGTTTTCTGGCTGTGGCTCGTCCTGAATTAGGACGTTTGTGAGAAAACCAATGCCAATTTAGAAAAGCGAAATTCCGAACATTCGATGAAAAAGCACACACCCCTGAGTGGCGCTGGGAATAGGAGGCACTTTTTAGACAATTCCAATGAAAAGATCTGGCAGGCAGGCAAAGATCCGGAGCTTGGTCTTCCTCGGCCGGTGGAAGAAGACCAGCTGAGGCGAGGAACTCACGGTGACGCTCTTGGGGTCAAACTCTGGCTCCTTGGGCGGCTCGGGCTCGGGGGCGGCGGCTGGCTTGGCTGCCTCCTTCTTGGGTTCGGGCTTCTTGGGGGCCATGATAGAGAGAGAGAGTCTTCCACAGAGCGGCGGGCACCGGGGGTCTTGTCACAGAGGGGCTCCAAGGGACAAAGGACTCAGCCCATTTCCCTGGCAATATATACCCAGCCCCTCTGTGACACTGGAGGGGGGTGGAGGGTGGGCAGTGCACAGGCAACTGGAGGAGTTAGCTCTGCCTACTATATAAGGAAAGAAGTCTTACCCATGTGCGCACTTCACAGTTTGCCCATTGTCATCAGCCCCTGTCCTCACATCCTCCATTGTGTCCCCAAGCAGCTGCCTTCTTGTAACTGCAGATAATTGCTTTCGCTTATTAGTTTGTCTTCCCCTCTGGGTGTGAATCGTTCACGTTGAACGAGGACTCGCACGTTGACAGAAAAGGCATTGCTCTAATTGGGAAGGCCAGACAATGCACAGGGGACATGGACTTTTTATAGGCAGCAGAACTCTTAACTTCCCCCACCACCCCCGCCCCATTCCTTTCAAGCAACCAAATCTGCCTGCTGCAACATCTCTTTACTTAGAAGTGATGTCTTTACAGATCGCCAAGATCCTTACAGAGGAGCCCCCTCTCACGGCCGTTTCTACGATGAAACAGAAGCCGGGCAAAACTGCAACTTGTCACTGGACACCATTGGGACTCTCTCCTCAGGACCTCCAGGTGGAGTCTGTGAGGTGGTCCCTAGATTTGGGATCTAAATGAGAGAATGAATCGTGACTTTAGCAATAGATAAAAGACAGGAAATTCGTCAGACGAACAGCTCTTAGCTCCTCTGCATTAATGAAAGCTCTGCTGTGTCTCTTTCCCTGCTGTCAGCTGGGCAGAACCCTTTGAGTGGCAGGATTATGGACCATAATGTTCTTTAATGGTACTAAGTGAAAAGGTGACAGGATTAGTTTATACAGACAGGGTGGAAATCCATTATAGCTGTGAACCACAGGCAGGCAATATGGCACAGGATGGCTGTTTGAACATTTCCATTGCAGGCAAACCACATACTCTAAAGTAAATGAATTATGCAGGTTACTAAAATGTGACAGGAAATTAAGAAACATCAATAACGAGAGCAATTAACGTGAACACAGGCTTGCTTCTCACCAGGATCACCCATCAGCCCTAATGCTGCTTGTTGAACAGTGCCTACCCATCTCTTGAAGGGCACGGGGCTCTGGTCGTTAACAGCTGACTACCCCTGGGAGTAATGTTTTCAGAATGGGAAACTGCTGATCTATCGCTGGCAGTCCTATTCCAGTTCCTGAGCTAAAGTGTTCATCCCAAATCTGACTCCCCAGCTGCAGTATGATCAGTCAGTCACAGACTAACCCAACTGAGAAACACTATACCGTATGTACCTTGATTACCTACATGGGACATTGTATGCTGTCTACATCACCGGCTTTACAATTAGTTATTTTTATCTATGAATTTGATCTAATCCTTTGGCTGATGTATTTATCCAAAGCACTGTTCAAAGCTGGCTTAATACAATGGGTTACATGATCTATACAGTTGCACGTGTGATGAATTTTCCCTCCTTGTAGCTGAACCATGGTTATTCTCTAATTTCAGAAGCGTAACTTTCAATTCTGTCAAACTATAACCATAGTACTACTGAAGATACAGGTCGACAGTGCAGAAATCGCTGGTTCAAAGTGGTCAGATTTTATCACTGAACCAGGAGGTGTGGCACTGACAGAGAGCCACATGGGCTTGAAACCATCCTTTTTCTAAACTGCTTTATCCAGTGCAGGGTTGCAGAGGAAGACATAGTCTAACCTGGCGAGGAATGGGGACGAGGCAGGATGCACCCTGGACAGGATGCCAGGGCACACACAGACACATGCTGATACCAGGGCCAGTTCTCCCAGTGGCCAGTTAACCTGCCAGCATGTCTTTCGACAGTGGGAGGAAACCAGAGCACCCGAAGGAAACCCATGCAAACGCGGGGAGAACATGCAAACTCCACACATACAGAATTCCCCAGCACTGCAAGGCAGCCGCCATGCTGCCCGCCTGAGTCAGCCTGTCTGTTCTCAGTTTTCCATGCAACAGACGAGCCCTGAGACTTGCCTGGCATCTGAGAGCTTTGACAGGAGCGGTTGTCATTTCTGCTCAGATCGAAGGTGACTGTGCTGTGGGCACCGCGGGGCCTGTGGTGTGAACAGGAAGCAGGTGGCTCCGATAGTGCATGTCAGAGAGGTCGTGCCATGTGGCACAAGGGTTGTAGGGGGCTGAGTTGACAAACAATTGTCAATTCTAAATTCGGAAAGGGAACCGCGTCAGCAGTGTGAACTTCTGGGAGGCTCAGTACCTCTCTGCTTGTCTTCTAGCTTTCTCCTTAAGCCTTAACCTTGAGCAGTTGACAGCCTCATTGTCATTACTCCTTGGCATCACTTCTGGAAGAGTCTCAGTTTCCTAATCGGTTAATTGCAACTCTGGTTTGTGCAGGGGCTTTTCTCCTCTGCTTCATCTCCAAAGTGGAAGTAACTTTGCTCGGTTTTGTACTGTTCAACCTGTAATCTTTCATCTATCTTTAAAAAAGTAGGTGGGAGCTTGTGAAACAGGAGACCAGTCTATCATGGTGTTCAGAGCACACACATGAAGACTGAAGCACAGCTTGGAGACTCCAGCTAACCTAGACTTACCAGCTCACCTGGTTTAGTCCAGACTTCAGAAGGTAACTCAAATTTTGGAAGTCTTTGGAAGGTGGGAGAAAAGTAAAGCTCCCAGAATGCACATGGAAATAGAGAGAACATGCAAACTGTTTTCTTAGATTTTTTAAAATTAACAGTAAATATAAGCAGTTTGCTGTAAAACCCCAGGAGTTTTAGAGGTGACACTTTTTTAACAGGCTCTCGAACTTATCAGCTTTCCAGTCCACTAACCATAAAAGTTGTCTCTAAGATGAAAGATTTATTTTGGGAAAAAAAACATAATAAATAACATCCTAAACGCTCTCTGTCAGCAGATGAAAGATGAAATAGATACACAGGCAGACTCTCCTCTCATATAATGCAGTTAAGGAATGAGGAACAGAGAATAGTGATGAATTTGTTAGTATAAAATTTCAAACTTTACATAAAAATGTAAAAAGTGCCAATCTGACCTGTGGCTCATGTCAGGAAAATGACCAGGCTGTGTGTTCATGGCAGAGCCTGTCTTTCACAAACACGTGCTGTTTGCATGACCTTCCTTTGTGTCCTAACAAAACTGCGAAGGCTGAATAAACCTCTGAGGGAGGTCAGGCCACTTAAAAATACCTTGAATAATAAATCTGTCCTGGCTGCCAGAACAGATCATTACAGATCTATTTTGAAAGGTTATGCTTTTATAAAAGTCCTAATTCAATCAGCTTAGTGAAGGATATAACGATTAAAATTCCACAGTGGAGCACCCTGCTTCTTTGACATCTTTATTCAGGAACTGTCTGATGGATATTGAACACAGGCTGCTGGAAGGATGGTAGAATTGTGCATTCTTTAGGTAACAGATTCAGATTCAGATTTTTTTTTCCATGGAGTTTTTAACATTTTCTCTAAAGTATTCCTCATAAATGCCGACTTTACCGTGTCACAGAAGGATACTCGCCATGCCAGCACGGACCACGAGCACAGAGAACAGACCGTTCAGAATCTGAACTAGGGTGGGCTGTGCGCTTAATTTTCTTGGTTTGGCTTGGTTAGAAACGTGGCTTGGCTTGTCAGCTCAGGGCTTGCCTTGTGCATGCTCTGAGAACAGAGCACGCCCCTACTGGATTCCAATCCACCTTCAGAGTCATGGCCAGGGCTGAATTCCTCTCAGCGGGCTGGACTGTTGTTGAAGTGCACAACCGTGAGACAGCGTGTGGCTGTAGCCAAAGATGACACTACGCAGACAGTCAGTGTCCACAATAAGCCCACAGAGCATTCAATACAGACCTGCAGGTAAATCTGGATAACACTGCTGCTATTGCCTGGAGAGCAATCGGATCCAATAGTTTAACATTATTAGTAGTAAAGTCTTCATCCTCCCTTCAAACTCTCATTAAGGCAGAAGCTGAGCTTCTCTTTCAGGTATCTGGAAAAGTAACACATTGCTCATCTATGAATATTGATATTGGCTCTAACTGCAACTTTTATTTTAATGGAGGAATAATTCCATCCTAATAGATGGCTTTTCCCCAGGGAATAAACTTCAGTTCTTTCTCTTGGAGCCTTTTCACTCTGCTGCTGTGCATTCATTCACAAGCTTCGTCCTTGGCCTCCTTCAACACAGAGGGCTGGAGACGTTTGTACTTACACTGTAGTTACAGAAAACAGACCACTTCCGCTACTTGTAGGGGCTCATTATAAAACCGCAGGACTCCTCTGAAACAAATATATAAACAAGAAATGTTTTATGGAATCTGAGTAGTGCAGAGGGCAAAACTCAAGGAAGAAAAAGGATTTTTGTGGAAGGAAAGGTCATGTTAAGACCAGGTCTTGGTCTATGAGCCAGATGAACAGAATTATCAATGTGGAGACAAAAACACTGATTGAGTGGTTTATATGAAAATCAGTATTGCCTGTTTTGTTTAACTAATTACATTTGCCCTTTGAAAAGTCGCTTATCACAAAGCCACAATATTGATGAACGTCTGGAGCACGTTAAGCACTTTAAGGGTTGTAACGCCCCCTAGTGGGAAAAGTTAGCTATGCCACCAATGTTCAATTTAAAACTGCTTCCCAAGCCTGGTCCTGGCAGAACACTGTGTGTTAAGTTCTTAATCACAGGCTAATTGATTTCAGTTTTACATCTGGGGCATAATGGTCATTTTTACTTTCAGGTTTTAAAAGATCAAATGGCACGTGCAATTGGTATCAAGCCTGCACCTATTTCTAAGTTTTGGAGCTGCAATGTTTCAGCTGAGCTGCTTGAAATGAACCCAACTGGAACTAGAGAAGGGAGAAATTCAGATTGTGGGCGGGTCATTCCCACCTGTATCAGCTTATCATCAATTAAGCAGGTATTTAGCAAGAGCTGGTTCAGCAATCTGTTTTAATAGCCAGCATGGGGGAAGAGAGGCTCTATAAAGTTCTTAGTGCTTACCCTTGAAAGAGGATTTTTCTTCTACCTAGGAGTGACTTGTTAACTACAAACAGGTTTAAGAGAAGTCTAAACAGCTAAGTATACTGAAGATGTCATCAATTACCACTGGAGGTGCAGAGTTCAGATGAAAGGAAGACAAGGAGAAAATGGATATGGGATGGATACTGATGATCCAAAGTAGGTTTATAGACGTCTCCTGAGCTTTTACAACATGTAAAACTACTGGGAGAAACAAACAAGCTTAAAATGGTTGTATGACCAGGAATCACAAAACTTTCTCAAGTTTCTGTCATTGTAACTCTTTTGTACAGGATATCTTGCAGTGTTTTGACAAGTGACCAACATTGCCCAGCTGAGGATTAAATAAGCTTAGTGCAATTCAATGTAAGAATGACTGAAGGCTGTGCCTGAGAGGTCACTGGTGCGGTCTGGACAGGTGAGTCCTGCGCAGGTGCAGAAACGTGGTGGAGGACTGAGCAATCCTGATTTCTGTGGGTTGGAGGGAGGAGTATTGAGGTATTTGGGAGGGAAGGTGGGAAAATGTCCCAGCTCCTCCTAACAGGGTAGGGTGGTAGCAGGGAGATTAGAGAGTAACGGAGCACCAAGTGGCGACTGATACAACTGGACAAGGCAACAATTTGGCCCTGTAACTCAGACTCTGAGCTCTGGCTCCTATAGTACATGTGGAAATTGACACAGTGATGCATGAATGACGAATGACATGCAGAGGCATGCTGACCTCTAGCTGCATGAAAATGCACACGTTGGCATTGAATACAATTATGCATTGATTGCTGCAGGACTTGTCAGTGTTCCAAATGTTGGTTTATTTGAATTTTTCTAATAGAAGGGAAAGAGCTCTATATTCTTGATACCTGAAACTGGAAACATGTTTGTCCCTGAGCGCCCCTTAACACACTAGACTGATTTATGAACAGAGTAAAAGGCTTGGAGTGAAATCGCAGCTCCCGAGAGATCACGCTCTCCAGTTCAAGATGAAGAATTTGCTTGTCAGGCAGGTTACACGCCAGACGAAGAGACCATTTCTCAGACTAGACTCGTCAGGTGCAGGCATGTTTTATTCATTGATTGAGTACACCTTATCCCAGAAGCTCTAACATAATTTCGTTCTTTTGCCTTTAAAACTTTAATACAGTTGCTAAACAGAAATGTCTAGTGGCAGTCTACAGAAAGCTCATGGGCAAGAGTTCTGTGGTCACTGAGGCTGTAGAGATTGTATAGGATGTCAGAAAAAGCTACAGTATAGCCCCTTTGCTATTTGCCTTCTAACTATGTTCTCTTAGCTTTGCAATGCATTTCTGTATTTTGTGTAGTAGTTTTCCTCTCTTTGCTGTGTTTCTCCATATTCTTATATCTTACCAGAATTTCCCTGGGCTTCATTTATACTTTGCATTGCTTTTACCAGAGTACACCACAGTCATCTCTCTGAAGTGTTCCTTTGATGGATACAATAACACTTTTGTGAAAAGATCATTTGCCTGCTGGTATTCTGGGGTTTCCAGGAAGGTGCTCTCAAATGAAGGTTAAGCAGGAGTGTCCAGTCCTGGTCCCAGAGGGCCAGTGTGTCAGTCGTTGGCTCAGCTCTTAATTGCCCAAATCAGTCCATTCCTGGCTTAATCAGACCAACTTACTGCAACAGTTTCGGTTGTTGGCGCTTTAAAAAACAAAACAAGATCTGGAGACACTGGCTTTCCAGAGTCTGGACTAGGTGTCCCTGCATTTGAGAGTCTGAATTCTTATCAGTCAGGAACTGAAGGTCTCTCTTTTTTTTTTTCCTGTAAGGGCCTGGGTTCAAGTGTGCATTATGTAACCAGAGTTATATTCCTGGTGCACAAATTTCATTGGGGTTGTAGAAAGAGGAGTCTCCATTCACGAGGAAAACATTGGGCAATGCTCAGCTAGACGTGTTAAGGATGTACAGTAGGATCACAGACCTTAGAGGTCGAAGGTCAAGGATTGTGAAGATCATCTTCTCAGGGCTCTCTATGCTGAACCAGAGGGATGGTGCTAACTCATTATCTGTATGTAGCGCCTTTCAGACAAGGCCAGTACAACGTGTTTAAGAAAACAATGAATCTTTCAAGAGGTAAAAACCTGCTTCAGGACCGTCACCTAATGCAAAGCACAACTCTCACGACAAAAGACCTGCGTTGTTTTCTGAGTCGTTAGCAACGACAACTAAAAAAATCCATTTGTCTTTCATAAATTAAACATAATAATGAGAAACCATTTGGGCACGCAAAACCGAAGCCGAACTATTTAAAATATTCAGTCAGGCGACTTAACGTCCCTGTTAAAATTCCATTATCCCCCCGCCCTTCGTGCCCAGCAGATGAATGATTTCTGCTTTTCGTGTTGGCAAATTCTTCACTGTCAAAGACAAGGCTGCATTCCTCAAGACTGGCCCGTGCTTGAAAGGAGAGCTCTCCTTAAGAATGATCACTGCTAATGAGCGTTACTCCTGTATGGGTCTCGTACATGGCAGAGAAGCGGCTACTCAAAAGACGTTGAAATCAAACTGTCTGACACATGAAACAATGGTCAGTTTTATTTTTGTAAAGTACAATGTCTTTTACAGCATTCCGTTATTAAGATGCGAGGTGGTCACATTCACGAATACTCTCCTTTATCCTATATAAGGTTTGAGAGTAGACGGTGCGTGTTGGGGTGGGGGGTAAACATATATTTAGAGAAAATGAGAAGCAGTTTTATTCTAACATCTTTTTTTTTTAATGAAACTCTAGTTTTAAACACCATAATACTCTCCGCTTATTATGCCCCGGTTTATAATCTTAGGTCAAGGTTCTATATTAAAACATTGGCTTGCTTTAAACCTGGCGAAATAAAACTCAAAAATTAAAATCGGACTTTTACAGTAAATGGATGCAGAACAGCGCATTCTGAACATCACACGATCTCATTGGAGGACTAATTCTCTTGAGCCTGGTGTTGAGAGGGCTGCTGTTAATTGCGACAGAAATAAATGACATTTTCCGCGCTGTAGCGAGTGTAGCTCGAGAGGAAAGAGGGAGAGACCCCCTTTTAATTTCTAAAACTTGCGTTCGAAGCCTCTTTTTATTTACAAATGAACACAAAAAGCCCTGGAATCCGTTTCCTTTCTGTGCAATGGATGTTTTTAACAATTGTGAGTATTTTTGATATATGATATACACATCATACAGTACGTGTTTTCGGGGCCGCAACAGCGGAGGTTACTGATCTTTTTTTTTTTTCTCGTACTCGAGAATTTGAGTTCCATAGAAAACTATATTGGTTTAGTCGTTGTGAATGATTTACTTTGAGCGTTTACTTCGCTAAACGTAAAATTCAAAATTTATTTTGAACAAGGCAATTGTTCTAACGATAACAAACAAAAGTTAAGTAATGTACATCGGAGGAAGATTAAACTGCTGAACAAAAGGTGTTTTAAATAAGATTAAACTGATGTTTTGAAACGTTTAACAATAAAATTATATATGGTCCTATTTGTTACATTGGTGATTGAGTTCTATTTTATTATAGAAACTATTTAGAAATGTATAAACTTAATATTGCTCTTTCCGTTATTGTGCATATGCAGTACAATACGTACATG